CCCCTTCCCCCCCCCCACTTCCAGGGGGATCCCCATTTCCAGGCGGCTCCGGAGCAATCCCCGCTCTGCCATCCCGGTGCCTCCCCCTCGGCAGGGCTCTGCCGTGCCCGGGGGGTCTCCCGGTATCCCTGGGAAAGGCCGGGAATTCCGGGCTCACCGGCTGTTGTAGGCCTCCTCCCGGAACTCGTAGTAGGCGCGGCCGTGCTCGTCCTTCTCGTCCCGCTGCCGTTTGAGGCCCCTCCGCTCGGCCTCGGAGCCCGTGGCCTGGGACCTGTCCTCCTCATCCCCTGGGAAAACATATCCCAGAAAAAACCCCGCTGTCATCCCCGAAAAAACCGGGAAAACGCGGGAAAATCCGGCGGCGGAAAAACCCGGTCGGGGGGTCCCGCGGAGCTCGAGAGCGGCAAAACCGGCCCCGCCGGGGATGGAATTCCAAGGGTTTGGGTTTCAAAGAGGGAAATTATTCCAGGGAAATCGGGGATTCATCCAGCTTGGGGTCCCATTTAACTCGTCAGGAAGCGAACGAGGTGAAATATTCCCAGGGAAAGCGGGGATTTCCAAGGCCTTTCCCAACTTTGATCCCGTTTCAATTCCATCGGACCCGTCGCTAAAATCACCTTCCCGGTCCCCCTGGGAAAACATCCCAAAGCCTCCCTTTTAACGGGAAAACTGAGGGAAACATTCCATGGACAGCAGGGGTTTGCTTGGCTTTAACCCCCTCCAGTTTCCCTTGAACTCGTTAATAAACGAATCAGATGAAACATTCCATGGAAATCAGGGATTTCAAAGGCTTTTCCCAGCTTTAATCCCACTTTTTTAGCAAAATCACTCGTTACCAAACCACCTTCCCAATCCCCTGGGAAAACATCCCAAAGCCTCCGTTTTAATGGGAAAAATGAGGGAAACATTCCACGGAAATCAGGGACTTTAACGGTTTTCCCCAACTTGAATCCCGCTTTTTTTCCCAGGAAGCCCCATCAGGCTGAAAGAAATTCCAACTGTCTCCTTAAAAAACGAGTGAAGTGGAATATTCCATGAAAATCTGGGATTTTCCCAGCTTTTAGTTTCCATTTAACTGGTTACAAAATGAACTGAGTGAAATATTCCAGGAAAATCAGGGATTTCAATGGTTTTTTCCAACTTTAATCCCGTTTTTTCCCAGAACTCTGCTCCAAATGCCTCATTGCCCTGGGTAAAATTCCCGTTATTTTCCTTAAAAAATTATTTAAGTGAAAATTTTCTGTGAAAAGCACGGATTTTAACGGCTTTTCCCAACTTTTATCCCGTTTTTTCCCCCAAATGATGCTCCAAATATCCCGTTACCCAAATCCATCGGGATCAAACACATCCCAAACCCCCTGGAAATGGGATTTAGGGCCGGATTGAAGCCCTGGGAAGCAACAATTCCCGCTTGGAACGTGGGAAAGGGGGAAAAAGAACCCCCAAAACTCTTCAACACTCCAAGGAGTGAGAAATTCCATCGGGATTTTCCCGGAGGAGGAAAAACTCGGGATCAACGTCCGTGGGTTTAATGAATAACTGGGACACCTGGGCCAAAAAAACTCAATAAATCCCACAAGGAAATCCAAGGAAACCACAAAACTTCCCAAATTTCAGGTTCTCTGACCCAAAAAAGCCAAAGAAACCGTTGAAACTCGGAAATAATTCCATGAAATCCGAGGTTTTGGGCTTTTCCAAAGCCCCTTAATGGAGATTTTTTCAGCTAATAAGGGTTTTGTCCCATCAAAATCCTAATTTGGGAAGATTCGGGGGATGGTTTCTCTTCATTCCCAAGAAAATCCTGCTCTGCCATCACCACAAATCCTTCCAAAGCCGGGGGGTTTCCCAAAAATCAGGATTTTTCCCTCTAAAATCATGATTTCTCCCCCCCCAAAACCAGGATTTCTCCCCCCCC